AGCTTCTTAGTGCTGTGCTTTAACCTGCTGCGCCACCTGGGAGGGCCTCAACAATGTATTTTAAGTGATTTTTTAAAAGGGAAAGAAAAGGGTCCTCCTGTCCTATCCAGAGATGCTTCCTTTGCTTCCTTCTGGGTTGCTTTGGTGCTGTCATGCCCTCAGATTCTCCAGGCGTCCTTGGTGATCTGACTTCTCTGTCCCTGTTCCCTGCCTCCCCGTGCACTGAGGATGTGGCACCTCCTATGCCTGGGCCTGGCGCCCCGTGAGCGCCTCCTGCCGCTCGCTCCCGCCTCACTGGTGGTGGTTCTGGCTTCCCTCCCCAGTGTACGTGCCGGATGAGTGGGAGGTGGCTCGTGAGAAGATCACCATGAGCCGAGAGCTGGGCCAGGGCTCCTTCGGGATGGTCTATGAAGGCGTGGCCAAGGGTGTGGTTAAAGATGAGCCGGAAACCCGGGTGGCCATCAAAACGGTGAACGAAGCCGCGAGCATGCGTGAGAGGATCGAGTTTCTCAACGAGGCTTCGGTGATGAAGGAGTTCAACTGCCACCACGTGGTAAGAGAAAGCTCCCGGAGGCCCCAGCCCGACAGAGGGAGGAAGGGGGCTTCCCTGGGGCCACCGTGTATTGGTGGCCACTCACTGTTGCCTGCACGTTCCCGGGCCCAGAAGATTCTGACCGGGAGAGCCCCTGTGGTCCCTTCGTGGGGGCCCAGTTCTGGGCCCTCTGATCCCGACGGTTCCCTTCCTGCAGGTGCGGCTGTTGGGCGTGGTGTCCCAGGGCCAGCCCACGCTGGTCATCATGGAGCTGATGACGCGGGGGGACCTCAAAAGCTATCTCCGGTCTCTGAGGCCAGAAATGGAGGTGAGTTTCTCATGCCTTTGGAACCTTCCTGCAGGAGATCTGTCTGTAGGCATTTGCCCTCCAGCATTGCACGCTCCTTGCCGTGTGAGTAGCTCTGGGTCCTGCATCTAGGGCTCTCGCTGACCAGACCGGAGAGACCGCGTGCCTCTGAGGGAGACCCTGCTATTGCTCAAATGCCCCTTTATTTGAACCCACAACCCTGTGCTTCTGTTACTGTACTGTCTCCACCCTGCGGGCACCCCTCTCCCCACCCCATCCCACCCCCCCACTGCCCACTGCAGTCTGCCAGCTCCTCTTCCTGAGTTCTCCTCTCCTAGCTCAGACTTTCCCTTTTTGCTTCTGCACGTTTCTCTCCAGCCCACTGTGGTCAGCGTTTCTTCCCAGGCGCACCCCACAATCCAGGGTCACGTTTGTGGCGGCCAGTCCTTTGACACATGCTTGGCTGAGTTTAGCAGCAGGTTGACTGGCTTCTTGCCCGGGCAGCTGGGACTTGCTAGTGAGGTCCCCTCTCCATTCTGGATACAAGGCACCCCCCATTTGAAACCCCCAGGTGCCCCCCAGTCAGCCAGCACCCTCTCCTCTAGGAACTTTGATCTAATTCTTGATCTGCACCCACATAGTGGGCTATTATTTTTTTTCTCCTTCCAAAATTTTGTTGATTTGCTTATTCTTCTTTAAAAATAGGTAAGTTAGGGAGTAAAGGTTCACACCTCCATGTGCATAGGCTTCACTTGCCTCCACCAAGCTCCACAGCCAGGCCATCACCACTCCCTCCATGCACCTCCCTCCCTCCCCCCCACCCAGCCCCCAGAGGTTCACAGTTATTTTTGCAAGGTTGCCTTCTTTGGTTGTTTTTATCCCATGAATGGAAAAAAAAAAAAACAATCGTCGTTCACTTTGTGACTTTTTTCACTTAGCATAATCACCCCAAGAACCATCGATTCATGATCCCCAAGTCATCCTTCTTTCCATTTCACTCGCTGAGAAAAGTTCCTTTGAGTGGCTGGACCACAGTTTCTTCATTCACTTGTCTCTCGCCAGGCACTTAGTCCGCTTCCATGTCTTGGCGAGCGCGGCTGGAGCATGGCTGACCCAGCCAGGTGTATAGGAGCCACCATGTTTCCAGTTCCGTTTCCGTATTCTTTGGACGAACACCAGAGAGGGTCTGTCTGGACCCTGTGACACTTGTCTGTACCATGCTGCGCAGAGTCCTCGCAACCTGCCCTCCCCGAGCTGTGCGGGGTCCTTTCCCTCCGCTCCCTCCCCAGGCCTGTCACAGAGTGAGGGCCTCCTGTGAACGCCCCTGTAAGCCTTCCCCAATGCTAAGTGACCGTGAGCACTTTGTCACGTGTCTCTGGGCATCTGTACTGTCTCCCTGGAATAACGTCCAGGGCAGCCTTTCCCCCATTTTTGAATCAGGTTGTCTGTCATTCTATTGTCGCCACTGGTGAGTGACAGCTGCCTCAGCTGCACCATCTTTGCTCAGTCCAGTGAAAGAGGCCGGTTTGTCTCTCAAGCTTCAAACTCCAAACTGCCAAGGTCCTGTGTGGTTTCTTGCTGGTCACTCTGGTGCCACCCGCCTGTGGTATGAACCCACCGGTCAGCTTTGTGGCCTTGGAACCAAGACTTGGGAGTGAGCGATTCTAAGAATGAAAGTAGGTAAATACTTAGCCACAAAGCCGGCAGGTCCGGTTTCGCCTCGCTGCCAGGGTGCCCTCTCCCTCATCCTGTGGCTTGAGTGAGCGTGCGGTCTGCTGTGTCCCGTGACCTGCCCCAGAACAGCCGTCTCGGGCCCTGCCTTTAGCCTGCACCATATCACCTCCGCAGCCGCAGCCGCCCGGTGTCAGTTCTGGGCCCATGCCCTCGGCCACTTCGTGATTGGCGCACAAGCCGCAGGAAGGGGAGAGGCTCAGGCAGGTGGTGACTAGAGACCGGAGCGTTGCCGAGCCGCCCTGCGGTCCTCCGGCATCTGCTCCGGGCCTCAGTTTCCCCGTGTGTAGGCTAAGAGGATGACTGAAGCCCTTGTGCCTTGCCTGAGTGAGACTTTCAAACTGAGGCCAGGTGGAAGGATGGGACGCTTGACCACGGCCAGTCTGCTCTCCTCGCTGCGCCGCCCGGTCACATCTGGCCACTGTGGCCTGGAGAGCGGGTACGGGCGTGCGTGTCCAGGCAGCGTGGCCACGTCGGAAACTTTGCTCTCGACGTCCGGCGCCGTGGCCCTTAGTGCCTCTGTCGGTGTTTAAAATCCGCCTCCTTTCTCTGATTCTGTTTTTCATTTCATTTTTCATTTGTTCTCCCCCAATTCTGTTTTCCACGTTGTTTATGAAAACCACTTTCAAGTAAGCACCATGACGCCCGACAACTTAGGGACCGTGAGCACACACTTCACACTTCACCTGCCGGTGACCCCCCCTTCCATGTGTGTAGAGAACCCTGGAGAAGTGAAAAGGACTTCGGGAGAGGGGGGTGGAAGACTCTAAAGGGGAATCCTGCGTAAAAGAAACTGGTTGGACTTCTCACTCAGTGATTATACTTTAAATCACCAGACACAGCCTCCATAGTCTCTTTGGGGTTCACATGCACGCTGCATGTGAGGGAGCCAGGCTGGAAGTGCATGGAGACTGGTGCCAATGCTTCTAGAAGCCAGCTTTCAGCAGACGCAGCTCCTCACTGCGCGAAACTGGCATCTGTGGGTCTGGACCATGGCCACGCACCGGGCACTATCCATACGGGGTCCTGGGGCCTTCCGGGGAGCTGTCAGAGCAAGATGGCTTTGCAGCGATGGCCAAGGGTGCTCTGGAGTCAGGGACAGAGGGTAAATTCTGTCCTCTAGTGCCATCAAGAGCCGGTTATCCCCTGAGCTGGAGGATGCTCCTTGGGTTTTCATTTTTAATTTTAAGGTGCAGACTTGGCACCTGTTTTCTATAAAACTTTTTCCTACATAGCTTTATTCTTGAGGGCATTTCTTTTCTGTGCCGAAGCCAGTTATGTTGACCTCTGCAAAGAGGAGAAGCTTCTCCAGCAACATTCAGTGCTTCGGCTGGGTCCTTGTCTAGAATCAGCTGTAGGGACTTAAATTGTCAAGGCCTTTCTTCCTTGGGACCCACAGAACGTAAAAGCCGAGGCCTGCCATGTTAGAAGGTGGAACAATTCCTCTTCTCGATTATTTCTCTTGAACTTCAGAAAAATTTAAAGAAGGTGGCAATCATCAGATCATGACCACACGTCTATAGGAAACACCAATAACATATCCAGGGCTCATACACGGGGGAGGTGTATTGCTGACCCCCCCCCCTCGCCTCCCTGCCCTGTGGTTATAGCAGTAAGAAAACACACACTAATAGGAACTTGTGCAAACAAGAACTCTTACTATGTCAAATTGCTTGTTTCACTGTAAATAATTTTTTTCCTTTCCCAAAGAGAAAATGCTGGCCCTGGGGGTGCTGACGGGTGGCCGCCCCACAGGGCCCAGGGATGTGGCCGGCCAGCCCAGCGCTCGCCACCACACGGAGCTCTGGTCTCCGTAATAACGTGTCCTGTCAGAGCAGGATGAACTGGGACCGAACCAGAGTGGCTTCACCAACCCAAGGGAGCCTGGGGTGACACGGTTCTGGAATGCTCACATGACTTTCATAATCTCCACCAGAACAATCCCGTGCTAGCACCTCCAAGCCTGAGCAAGATGATCCAGATGGCCGGAGAGATCGCAGATGGCATGGCGTACCTCAACGCCAACAAGTTTGTCCACAGAGACCTTGCTGCCCGGAACTGCATGGTGGCCGAAGATTTCACAGTCAAAATCGGAGGTGTGTCCTTAGCTTGCCAGACCTGAGCAGGAGCGAAGCTCACAGGCTGCGGGCGGGGTGCCGCTAGGTGGGCAGTCAGTGTCCATGGGCAGCACATACCGGCCTCCCGTGACATGCGGGGCCAGTGGGAGCTAGATTTGCTTTGTCCAGTGCCCCTTCCCCTCCTTCTCTGCGGGGACCCAGACTAGCTGCAAACCAGGGGGTGCCTGAACTGAAACCTGGGTTCTGATGCAAACAAATGAAAGATTGGGGCAAGTGCCGTAAGTTCCATGAGCCTCGATTTAACCACCTTGGAAATGGGGATGACACTATTGATCCAGGAGACGGTGGGCAGGACTCGTGTGAGGAATCCCCCTGCACCCCACCCCCACCCCAGTACACTCTGCCAGGCCAGACAGTGGCACTTCCTGAGGTCCCTGGCATCCTTGACCCCTCCCACGCCCCACCCCCACGCCCACACTGGCAGAGACCCTGTTCCGTGCTGGGCCCCACAGCCTTGAGCTAGTTTTGTGCCACTGGGTGTCCCCAGCAGCCAGCATCGTGTTTGCTGTTTAACCATGTGGCTTATTAGGAGTGACATTTTCTTGGTAATTGTTTCTCTTTCCTAAAATTTGCTGTGTGTTGAGGAAGAAATCGCTTTTTTAGTTCTGTTTTTTTTCCCCCTTGTAGGGCAGGGCCAGGCCAGGCCCTGTCATTTGCATGACACTGTTTAACTCACAAATAAGACTTTCATCCTCTGTTTTTATTCTTCACCAGGCTCCAAAAATGTTTTTCCGATGCCCAGTGACTCATGGGTTGCAAATAGGACAAGTCACTTTAGCAGAGGCAGCTTGCGGGTCCCTGCACAGTGCGAGCTGGCTGTGCGGGGAATGTCCCGGGCCCCTGGGCCGCCTCTGCTCCGTCACTGCCCTCCTGGTGCAGGGCGAGACATGCACAAGCATTTTCAGAAAGAAAGCACCCCCTTCTCCTGGGAAGGAGAACAGAAGCGTAAACAAGGGTCTTGTGATTGAGTGGAAAATCAAAATCTGACAAAGAAGCGATAATTTCAGATTTTAAAACAAGACTGCCATCAAACATAATTACGTGACATCTTCTCGAGACATGGAAAAATGGAAGAAATCTCAAAAACAAGTGGGAGTATTATGTTGAAAAACATTATTGAGTAATAGCTTCAGGGGCCTCGTAAATACTGTCTCTGCTTACCCTGGGCTTTTCTCCTGGTGAATTGCTACTCTCAATATTTTTCCCCTTATTAGGCGGTGAAATGACTTTCTCCCCTCTGGCAGTGGGGCCTTGGACCAAGTAAATAAGAACTAACAGGCTCCTGTTTATTTCATCAGGTTTCAAAACCAAGTACAAATGATCGTGGGTCTGCGAAGCACCAGTTCCCTTGATAAGTTGTGGGACTCGATAATTTGCAAACTGCTTCTCGTTTTAAACGAGAGAACAAACAGCCGCGGAAAGACTAGCTTTTTAAAAGCAGGACAGACCTCCCTTCAAAAGGGACACACAAGCAGAGATTTCTCCGTCTTTCCTGGGCGTGTGGCTCATCTCCCTGTTTTTCTAACTTTGAAAATTTGCCGGCTCTGATATCAGCCCCCTGAGGCTCTGTCCAGGCACACTCCCCACAGCCTAACTCACATGCCTTGTCTCCTCTCTCCAGACTTTGGCATGACGAGAGACATCTATGAGACAGACTATTACCGGAAAGGAGGGAAAGGCCTGCTGCCGGTGCGCTGGATGTCCCCCGAGTCCCTCAAGGACGGCGTCTTCACCACTCACTCTGATGTCTGGTATGAGAGAGTCTGTCCCTCTGAGCCCGGGCCTCGCCCCCCCTCCCCACCCCCCCACCCCCGAGCCTCACCGGCCCAGTCTGCAGAATTTTCTTTCGCTCCTGTCTTCTGTGCATTGTTAACTCCACCCCAGCCGTGGCTGACACTCCGTGAGCCACATTCTGACTTTGACGCCCTGTACGTCAGGGCACCCATGGGATGCCGCAATTTGCAGGACCCACCTTTTTAAACCCTTAGCCGCTCCCTGCGTGGCTCAGTACCCTCGAGACTGCCCCAGCTCACCTCCCAGAGCAGGAACGTGCCAGGAAACGTCCCTTTCGGCCTCTGCCCTCTCTTTCTCTTTGGCAGTAAATCATACAAGGCGGCTGTGTGGCCGCCTCACCTAACTGAGCCTTTACAGCAAGCCTTGATGTATTTAGGCCCGAAGTCTATGAGTCTTTGGTGTTTGCTGATTTCACGTTATACTGAGTGAAGGTGCTAGGTCCCATCTACTGTCTGTCCTCTCCCAGTGAACATCCGTCCTTGTCGGCCCAGACAAAGTCTCCAGCAAAATCTCCCTCACCAGTAAAAGTGTCTTTGGGTAGGAAGCTCTACAGCCAAGGCGTGCAAGGAATTCAGAAAACAATGGTGTTGTTTACTGTGGTTCCTCAGCAACACTGTAGAGAGGCAGTTAGGTTCCCAGAGACAACTGAGGTTTTTGGCAGGCTCAGGCCCTGGCATGAGAGCTGGTCCTTCTAGAACGTCAGCTTGATTCTTGGCTGTCCTTTTGGGAGATCCCATGGCCGGTGTGGTACAGAAATGGTAGTTGTTTACGCCGAGTGTCTGGGTGACCACAGAGGGGAGCGATTTTAGTAGTGACAGACATCATTTTTTATAGCTTCATGTGCAGGAGCCTGAATCTTCTTTGGAAGACAGGTGCAAATTGGAAATAGCATTTAATATGACCCAGCAAAGCCTGAGTGCTCTCCAGCTCCAGTATGAGCTCTGTTTTGCGAATCAGCTTGTCCAGGATGATTCTCTCTGCTGTCAAATCAAAGTGTGCGATGGCACCTTAGTCACGGGGGTGCCAGGAGAGCAAGCTGGGCCCAGGCCCGTGGCTGTTTATTCCAGGTTCCGTGGCTCCAAGAGCTTTGAGGACAGCTTCTAGTAGAATAAACTAGAAAACCCAGAGAGTCCGGGGAGATAGAGGCAGAGCAGGAAGAGAACACAAGAGTTGTTGAAATCAAATTCTGGTTAGCGGTTATCGTAGGGAGTAGCAACTCAGTGCCAGTTTGGGCCCACCTGATGACATTAGCCACTGTGAACCACATGTAGCATGGCACCAGTTGTAGCTGTCAGTGGTGGTGCTCAGTCATTGTTCAGCACTGAGCTGCTTGAACTTTTTAAAAACAGCTGGGCGAGTAATAATAAAGGGTAGAGATGACAGCATGGGAGAATGCGGGGAATTTCTGTCGTCCACGCTTAAACTGAAGTTGTCTCTCTCGAAAGAATGGAGGTCATTTTAGGTTGTATTCAGTATCACACATCCTAAAGAGTTAAAATCTAGAAAGAAAGAAAGACAAAGAAGTTTCTTTGACTTTGTAGCAAAGCCCAGAATCTTGAGATTGGAAGGTATCTCTGGGGACAGGCGTCTGGGGGCAGGCCCATCCCCGAGTCCACAGTGTCTGTGACAGCTGGTCTTTGAGCTTTGCACAAAGCTTTCCTGGGCCTGCAGTTTCCTCTGGCAATGTCGGACCCTCCTCATTCCTTACACACCTGTGTTCTTTGTAGGTTTTTTTCCAAGCTGTGCTAAAGTCAGCTCAGGGAGTCCCCACTGGCCCTGCTCTCTGTAGCAGAAAGCACACCGTGCTCTGTTTTTGAAAAGGCAGGCCTTGGGGTCACAGGGAAGTGGCTGCTTTTGTCTTGCTGAGCATCTTCAGATGGGCCTGCGGTCCTTCAAGACTGTTCTGGACCTGGGGCATGTGCTCGTTCTTCTGAGGCCCCCTGTTGCACTGTGCCCCTGGAAAATCGCTCACTTGAGTTAGAAGATGCCAGGGTGTCCTCCAGGCCTGAGGCATTGCCATTGGAGCCCTGAGGAGGGGTCCTGGCCGTGGGAATGCTGCAGGAAGCCATGGAGACGCCAAGCGCTTGCTGCACAAGGAGGCTGGCAGGATGAACTTAGGGGAGCCAGGATGAGATGAAGGGAGAAGGCCTTGGACAGAGCATCAGGGCCTTAGGCTTTACCAAGACTCTAGCAGCTTTTGTGAGCTGAGTCTGGAGATGGCCATGTTGGCTAGAGTGCAGGTGCCCTGAGTAGAGGAGGCATGTGCTGTCGGCGAAGCAGGAAGACTGTCTGCCAGGCTTTCCGAGAAAGTTGCCCTGAGCCGCAGGGGTGAGGCACCCCCTGAAGGGTGCACCCAGAGGCTGGGGAAGGGCTGCTCATGTGGGGGCAGGGTGTCGTCGGCAGTGACTGCAGAAGAGGAGCAGGTTTGGAGGCCAAGTTCAGTTGGAGTTTCGGATGGCCAAGTCACTGGGAGCCTGAAATAGAGCCATTGGGGCCGAAAGGGTCAGCTTGGGAGCCTCCCAGCAAGAATTGGCTGCATGAAGGCAGCTGACACAGCCAGCCAAGGCTGTGGGGCAAGAAAAGTGGGCCCAGTTTCAGAGGATTCTCGAGCCAGGACTGCGGTCAGGAAAACCGCAATCTGGTCATCTCTTAGCCCGTACCACGCCTCAGACCTGACGGCCCCTTATGCCACCTGGCCGGCTCCCGGATGTGGACACTGCTGAAGGGGGTGGAGAATCCCACCGCCCTTGGCCCAGGCCTTTGAATGACGCGTTTGGCTTCTGGGTCTTTGGCTTTTCTAGGTCTCTTGCGCAATATAAAGAAAGAGCAATATTCTTGTTTCCGGAAGTTAAGGACCTTGGGTGGATCGGTCCTCTGATGGCTAAGATTCTATTTACGTCTAACATCTGCTTTTAGTATCAGTGTGTACAAAACCCCTTTGTTCATGGTAAATGGCTGAAGCAGTGAATGAAACAATCCAGAGTCAGAGGCCTTCCCGGCTCAGGCTCCCCGCCAAGGTCCCAAGTGCCCTCTGTGGGGAGTGCCCTGGGATTGTCACAGTGCTCCCAGGCACCCTGGCCCGGGACACCCCTCAGAGGCCCCAGTAGGCTTCCGAAACCCCCCGTGGCACCTCCTGTGCTGTGTGGCTGCCTGTGCAACCAACCAGATACAAAGGCAAACAGACCCCTGGGGATCCGTGGCAGTCTGTGCTGAAAGGGCCACCTTCCTGGGCACACCACAGCTGGCCTGTCTCTGTTACCGAAGAAGCTTTGTGTCATCTGCTTCGGTTTGCTGTCCGTCAGCTACACCTTCCCAACCACACGTAAAACTGCACAGCAGGCGCCATTGTGCCATGCCTGCCTGTGGCGTTACTCCTTGGCTGAGCTCTGTGCTTGAGAATTCTTGGTTGTCCGTGACGCCCACCAGGGCTTCCCTCCTCCAAGCCCTAACAGGGACACGGAGCCTTCCCCCGCCAGCGCCTCCGCCTTGGGCACTGGGCTCCTCCCTGGCCACAGAGGCCACACGCCTCCTTATGGAGCCTCGAAACCCTCCTAGGCTGAGACCCACACCCCAGGCTCATGACATCAGGACTGGGTTCAGGCCCTGGTCTCCCTGATTTCAAAACTCACCTGTGGTGCCCGCTAGGCAGCAGCGACCAGAGGCTGTTGTCCCCAACCTCATGAGGCCAGCACGTCACTGTCCCAGCCAAACCTGGGGACCTGTGTTCTGTCCTTAGAACCCAGCAGGTCTGGGCGAAACGGCCCCACTGGGAGATGCCTGGGGCCAGGCCCTAAATTCAGTTGTCCCATCTGGGGTGCAGTCTGAACCAGGTGCTTCCTAGCTTTCAAGGGTGCCCCGAAACTCCCTGCATTCAGCCACCCCAGCTACATGGCTGGGGCCGCATTCACTCTGCATGAAGCATCAGAGACCACACGGGAGCTGCAGGAAAGGCCCGAAAGTAAAGGCAGTGCAGCCGTGCGCCCCTCCCCAGACTCACGCTTCTTTCCTCCCCGTAGGTCCTTCGGGGTCGTCCTCTGGGAGATCGCCACACTGGCCGAGCAGCCGTACCAGGGCCTGTCCAACGAGCAGGTCCTTCGCTTCGTCATGGAGGGCGGCCTTCTGGACAAGCCAGACAACTGCCCCGACATGCTGTATGTATCTTCTGGGCCCATGAGACGAGTGGCTCTGGGAACGGGTCTCCCTGGCCCAGGGGCGGCAGGCAGTTTGGAGGGGGGTTAGCCTGGATGGATGGGCCCCAGGCCTTCGCACAGGTGTCTTCATCCCACCCCCTCGCCCTTAAGCCTGTGGTTCTGACTTGCGGTTTGCACTGTGCTTTCGCGGGCTAGATGCCTCTGAGCAAGAGTCGACCCGAGGACCCTTCACCCGTCTTCCCCATGCAGGATGGTCTTTGAAAATGCAGCATGACAGGGTGGTCAGCCAAGCTCAGAGGCTCCAGCCTTTGAGAAGCATGAGCTCAGGTGGTGGTCAGGGCCCAGCAGGCACCGCGCGGGGCGCCTGTGGCCTTACCCCACGGGCAGTCCGGCACCTGCCACCTCAATGGTGTCCCCGTCGGGGAGGTGCCAGGAAGCCTGGCCCTACAGCGTGACTGCCCCGTACGTGTCTCACGGGGTCCACGGTGAGGGCCTCTGGTGTTCACGGAGCCCAGACCCGCGTCTGCCTCTGCTCTGTCTCGGGAGGCTGGAGTCAAGGAGCTGCCAGCGGCGTCTCGGGCCTCTGCCCAGCCCTGGCCGGTCATTGAGGACTCAGCCCGTGGCTGTGGCACGGACATCCTCTGGCCTCATGGCTGCTGGCTGGAGCCTCCTGCAGGCTCTGTCACGGCACAGCCTGCTTCTCAAGGGGCAGCAGCTTCTCCCATCTCCTTTACCTAATGAAGTCAGTCACCAAGGAGAGCCTCCCTTTGATGAACTCAGAGTCCACCGACGAGAAACCTAACTAGAGAGGGGCCATCCTGTCCTCACCAGCCCACGCCCACTCCACCATGGCGACTTGGGGACCGTCTTAGAATCTGCTGGGGAAGCAGGAAGCCAAAGCTTTGGTTTTTTCTGGGGCGCTTGGAGTGTTCCTACCGAGAGTGAATCCCGAAAGCCACATGGAGGTGACAGCTCGTCCTTCCAGCTGCTCCTCCTGGGTGTTTGCTCTGCCAGAGCGTGTTCTGTGTCAGGCGGCTTGGATGGGTGTGAGAAGAGGGCCAGAGGCGTCATTTATCAACATCATGGGGTGAGGTGCTGGTCGATCTGCCGAGCATGGTCTGCACCAGGAAACCTGTGTGTCCCCGGGCCTTGGGGTGCAGGGAGGGCCCCAGTGACAGCTCCACTTCTCAAAGGGCAGAGCAGTGGGCGGGGCTCAGGATTTCCTGGGTCCCTTGTTTAAAAACTTGGCCAGTACAACCTCTTCAGACCCCAGGACCCAAAGGTGGCGGTTTCGAAGGGCTGGGGTGGGCGTGGCCATGCCGAACAGCTCTGGCTCCTGGTCTCCCCGAGGCTGTGAGCCGGCTGGCAGCTGGGCTCCTCCGAAGGCCTGACCAGGGCTGGGCTCGGCATCCAGGCTGAGCATCACAGCTGCCTGAGCTTCTCTGTGACCTGCGCCCCTGTCCTCAGACCATACAGCTGGCTTGCACAAGGGCAGGGCTCAGCGATCTTCTCTGAAAGGCCAGGTAGCGAATGCAGTCAGCTCACGGCCGCCTGTGTCCACATTGCAGTGCAGGTACAACCACAAGACAAGATGTGGTCACCAGCGCCACATCCCTGAGCACCAAGAAAATACTATTTGTGGGTGCAAACATGTGCGTTGCACATCACATGCATGTTCTCACAAAATGCCATTGGGTTCCTTTCCCCAACCATTCCCAAATCTCAACGCCATCCCTGGGTGATCGTTCTCACCCAGTGACACGGCAAGCCAGGCGTGGCCCCCAGCTGGCCCCAGGCTGCCTGGAGGTGAATGCCCAGAGTGGCCACCTCCGCTCGCTCACTCCACAGTTTCCACACTGGGGTTTCCCAGCCTCAAGGAGGAGAACCCCGGAGCCTGAGGGAGGCTGTGGGGGGCTGCTCATGCCAGTCCCCGCAGCTGCACCTCCTGCAGCCCATGGCCACTGTGTTGCGACCAGCCCACTGTAGGAAAAATCTTCCCCATTCCTGAAGTTTGAGGAGTGATGGCCGCTGAATTAGCGCAGAAGTGAGCAGTGCCAGCAGAGCGCCCACCCTGGCGTTGGTGGTGCTTGAGCAAAGGTACAGACAGAGAAGGCAGCTGTCGGTTGTGTTTATGTGGTTTTGGGGTGATGGGAGGAGACTGGGGTAAAAGCTGGTCTCAGGGAACCTTGCAGGACTGACCCAGGTGACTGTGTTTTAACACTAGTTGAGTGTGCCCTGGGAAAGGCCAGGGGCGCCCCGTTCCCAGCACAGGGTGACAAGGAAACCCGAAAGGAGCGGTGACTCTCGGATATTCAGTGTTCACTCCAGGAGGCACTTCTGCTTGGCCATCCAGAACCCCCCTGGCAAGTTTTTCTCCCTCCGATGAAAAGACCAAATGAAAGGAGGCTAGTTGGTTGCAAAGGGAGTGTCTGTGCTGTCCTTGTGAATCCGTTGATGACCTTTGGTGAGGGCGAAGTGTTCTGGGAAAGGGGTGCTGTGTTGCAAGAAAGTAAAGAAGGGCCCATGTTTTCCCAGAGGAGAGAAGGTGACCCCACCGCGAGAGTTGCCCGACAGCCTGGCCAGGCCTCCGTGTGGAGGAGAAGCCGCTTCAGTCCCGGGGTTCCCGAGGTCCAGTGCGGCAACCATGGGGGGCCGAGGTGGCGCGGTGGCCGCCGGTGGCCCCCACGCGACATCAGGACGACGCTTTGGCTGTCTGCTATTCACGACAAGCCGGTGCAGGGGGCTAGTCCAGAAAGAGCCGCTAATGCCCACGCCTGGCAGCCCAGCACGCCCGGGCTTTCAGAGCATCTCCCTGGTCCAAGCCGCAGTGTCCAGGCCTGGCAGTCTCAAGCCCTGAGTCCGTTGAATTAGTTTAGCAAGCGGCACGAGGTCAGATGCGGCTGCGGCCTCCTGGCGGAGGTGTGTTTAGTTGACGACAAAGCCTGTCCTGACCTCTTACACTCAGATCTCCATACTGGCTCTCCCGATGGCAAGGAGCCCTCCGGTGCCCTGGAGGTCGGCTACAAGGGGCGCTCCTCGCTTTCGCAGGTCTGGTCACTAGGGCCCGATTCCAGGGCGGTGGGCAGAGGCATGCACCGAGCCACAGCCTCTGCGGTGAGACCTGCGCAGCTCCTTGTCCAGCCCTGGCCGGGGAGGGCTTCTTCTGGGCCGCGCGTGCTAGCCCAGAGGTTCTCACTCACGGACAGTGTGAGGCAGAGTCGGCGGGCTCCCTCTGCTACTGCAGATTTCAGGCAGGCTCGTTCTGTTGCCAATGAAGCTCCCTTGTGACTGGGAAGCAGGGAGGCAGCCACGGCCGATGCAGCACCCTGGAGAGAGATGGGCCCAGGCCCTGCGAGGCCCTGTGCTTGTTTCCTTGCTGCCGAACGGCTGATGGGGGTGGGGCAGGGCAGCCCCTGTGGGTCCTGGCACTCAGAGCGCAGGGCAGGCTCACCCAGCCCTCCGGGTCCTTTCTGCAGCCAGGCTCTGTTGTCAGCCACCGCCCGGGCCAGGGCTGGCTCGGGCACTGCGTGGCTGTGCTCATGTTGACCGTGATCCCAGCCTCCCAAGGCGGGGCTGGGGTGAGGCAGGGGTGCCCCCTGGGTGGCGTGGAGGGGGACAGTTCTCTGGCCCCCCTGCCGATGCCCAGTCTCCTGGACACTCCCCAGCAGGGCAGCAGCTCCAGGTTTCTCCTGCTGCCCCAGGCCAGGCCAGGGCGATGGGCAGCCCCCAGCCCCACCCCCACGGGAACCTTCCCTCAAGGACCCACTGACGGGGTCATCTAGTTGTAAAACATGGGCTTTTTTGAAAGAGGAATTTTATCAGCTCATAAATCCTTGCAGAGTCTACTGGAAAGTTTTCCTGTGGAGAGATAGTGTAAACAAGGTCTCAGATCCCACAGAGTAAAAAAGACTTCCTTTTATGGGCAGTCCTGGAAGGACTGCGATCTGGAATGGCTTAAAGGAGCAGCACGTGGCCTGTGTGTGCTGATGTCACTGGCATCGCCCCCCCACCTCGTGGCACCGCAGCCAGGGCATCAGTGTGTCGCCCGGCCTGCTGCTCACGGCTGAGCCAGCCTGCGGCCAGAGGGGAAGCCGCAGCCCGGCCTCTGGGTGCCTGGGTTTACAGCCCTCTCTGTGTTTTGTTTATCGGTGGGGGAGCCTTGTTCTCAGGAAGCGAGCGGAGTACAGCTAGGCTTGAATGCCTTCTGCCCGAGGGGCTGCACTTTTTATCCTGCAAGTGTGTGTGTGTGTGTGTGTGTGATCACCTGTGTGTCATCGCCTGCGTGTGTGTGCGTGTGAGTGTCATCACCTGTGTGTGCACGTCTGTGTCCTCACCTGTGTGTGTCCAACCTGTGTGTGCGTGTGAACGTGTGTGGTCACCTGTGTGTGTGAGCATGCGTGTCAACACCTGTGTGTCATCACCTGTGTATATGAGCATGTGTGTCATCACCTGTGTGTGTCACCTGTGTGTGTGTGAGTGTATGTGATCACATGTGTCATCACCTATGTGTGTATCATCACCTGTGTGTATGAGCATGTGTGTCATCACCTGTGTGTATTGAGCATATGTGTCATCACTTGTGTGTGTGTCATCACCTGTGTGTATGAGCATGTGTGT